CCGCCGCGGCTGCGCGCCCGACCGCCCTCCCCCCCAGTCCCCCGCCGCCCCGGAGGGGTCTCGGCCGCCCGCCGCTAACGCTCTTTCTCCCTTCAGCAGCCAGCCAGCTCTGTGTCAGGGTCGGGGGGTGCAGAAAGTCAGGACAGAATGAGGGATAGCTCGGCCCCCAGCTCGGCCTCCTCGTCAGTGACAGATCTGTACTGCACCCCTCACAGCAGTAGGTCAGACCTCTTCCTGCCGGGCACGGCCGGGGACTTCAGCCTGAGCGCCAGTCTGTCGGCCTGTACGCTGCTTTATGAGGTACCTTCCAGGAGAGGGGGCCCCAGCGAGCGAGCGGGGGGGGGGAGAGCCCCAGCCGCCCCCGCCGAGCTGGGCCCTGCTGCTCTGCGGGCCGAGGACAGGGACGCAATGCGAAGCAGGAGGGCTGCGCGCCCTGCGGTGTTCCGAGGAGAGCGAGGCCGGGCTCCGGGCCGCGCGTGGCGGGCTCTCTGCAGCCCGCACTGTCGAGGTCCTAAGAGAGGACCTGGCCCCTCTGTCCCTCTCAGCTGGGGGCCGTGGGACTCCCCGAGACGACTCCATTCCCTTCTCCCAACCCCGCGGAGTGACTCTCAGCCCTGTATCGCTGCTGCGGCTGCTCAGGACAGATTCTAGGGGCTGGGCCTCCGACCTCTTGGGGTTAAGTGGCGTTTCTTTCTTCTCTATGGCTTGAAGGAAGCTGCATCAGTATGGTGGCTGGGAACGTGCAGGGGCCCTGGCGGCCTTATGTAGTTGGTTCTCCCAGCATCTCCTTTCTCCAGAGATGAGCAGTTAGAGTCAGCGAAGGCTCCTTCCTGATGTAGGGCGCTGGAGCCGGGGTGGGAGTGAGGAGGGCTAGGGAGGACACGCTTGTGGGAGTGTGGTCCCATCTTGCCTTGAGGGATCCAGGGCAGAGCTGACCACGGGAACAGTGAGGGTCTCTGGCCCTCCCTGGGCAGTCCTGGCTCAGGGTATCAAGGTGCCCCGCCCATGTTGCAGGGGGCTGTGGAGCCCATGCAGATTGACGTGGACCCCCAGGAGGACCCACAGAATGCGCCTGATATCAACTATGTGGTGGAGAACCCCACCCTGGTATGGAGCCCAGTGGGGGAACGTGGGGTGTCTCAGTTTTGCCAGAGGGTCCCAACTACACTCCTTATTACACAGTAGGCAGCCTCATTCTCAGCGATCTCTCTGGTCATGTCTTTTTCTGACTCAGAAACCTCCAGGGGTCTAACTGCCCACTCATGTTAGGTTTGTAGTCTAGTTTGAGACTCAGCACCCACTTTTTACCCATATGGAGGAGCTCTGTTTGCTGCCTATCACCCCCAACTGCAGAGCTCTACCCTGGAGGCTCCTGCCTCCAGTGGCCCCTTAGCCCCTGCGACAGCAGTCAGTCTCACGATCCCAGGTTCTGAGTGAATTGCTGTCAGGTCCAGGGCCTCTCCAGTGAGGGGTAAGCATTCCAGTGGGACTTTCGGGTCCTGGGGCTTGGGGTCCTGCTTCACACTCTCATCTGGCTTTTGCTCCTTCATCTGGCTCAGGATCTGGAGCAGTACGCAGCCAGCTACAGCGGCCTGATGCGCATTGAGCGGCTACAGTTCATTGCTGACCACTGCCCCCCACTGCGGGTAGAGGCCCTGAAAATGGCCCTGTCCTTCGTGCAGAGGACCTTCAACGTGGACATGTATGAGGAGATCCACCGGAAGCTCTCAGAGGCCACCAGGCAAGGCTGGGGGTTTGGTGCAAGGAGGCAGAAGCCATGGGGGGAGCAGGTACCCAGGACTCATGCGGCATGTCCCCTCCTGTGCCCACACCTGGTGGGACATGCTTCCCAGCTGAGAAGTTGACTAGAACAAAAGTCCCC